CAGTAATTTTTGTTACAAGTGTTGGTAGCCATGAAAAGGTTGACCAGTTCTGTCGGAAATAAAGATCCAACAATTATAAGGTATACTGGAACTCAAGGATATATCCTGCTTTTAAAAATCAGAAAAGGAATGAAAATCTTTATTATTTTTCTATTACACAAAAGAAATTTTGTAACACAGACAAGCTAATTAGAGATCGGTTTGGAAATTATAGCGCATCTGACACCTTACGCAGTATTTAAAATTTTTCTAAAACAAATCATTCAAACCTTTTGAAAAGATAACTTTTAAAACTTATCTTTTCAAAGGCTGAGTTAAACTCAAGAATTTCACCTGCAAAGGCCTCAGTGCAGACTTCATACCAATCCCAGCTTTCAGTTACCATCACCAACAAGCATCAGCTCCCTTGAGAAGTTGCCCGACTTTCTAACATACCACTGGGACACAAGTACAGATTTCTTCCCAAAAGGTTTCCAAACAGAGATTTATTTTATTAATATACTTATACAAAAATGAGTATAAAGAGTTGATTTATACAGCAGACAATCGGATTGCGTCAAAGCACCACAGGGAAGACACACATTTGAGAAGAGATGCATGAACAAACCCACTAAATGACAAGAGATTTACAAGCTTTATACTTTGGAATATATATTCTTATTAAATCAAGAACAAGCCATTAATTAGACTGCAGTTTTGGGGTCATTAACTTGGTTTACATTTGCTACTTTCCTGACAAATGTTAAGCAAATGTGCCATACTTGGGATGCAACCTGGCAAATTTCTTAAATAACCGGACACATTTAAAAAGCAAAATAAAATAAAAACGCCGACCTTTTTTGGATACAGTTTGCTGTTTTCACAGCAGATTTAACAGCAAACTGCACCTTAACTGCTCAGTTGAAGCTGTGAGATTCCCCAGGTCGGTGGAAGAATTGCAGATAGCAGAGTGCCACCTGTCTTTCACAGGTCACAGCTGCAGTGCTGCAGCCTGAAAACCAGCCGACCGCGACCAACTGACAAATATAGCTCAAAAGGGTCGGTTTGAAAAATGTTTACAGCGTTTGACAAAAACAACTCTCTTTTTTTTAATCAGTTGCAGCCTTAGGAACGAGAAAATGCATAGTCTGTAACTTAAAACTGTTTCCGATGAGGAATGTATACACATGCCAAAGAGGATAAAAGGATGATAATGAAGAGAAACGGTCTGATTAACAACAATTTGGAGAAAACTCAGCACTGAAAAGAACTCCCATTACACATCTCCATAAAACGATGTTAGGAAAATTAGAAGTTCCTCAGTGCTGCTTTCTATAATTACAGCAGCAGCAATACCAATTCATCTCGGGAGCTGTAGTAACTTTAGAACCTGTATTACCAAACATCAAGATCATATCAAAATTATATAAACCAGATATTACATCTAAAGCTAAACCACGTATCATTGATATTCAGAAGTCAGTCATCATCACGACATATTAACTAAATACTAGATACTGCTTTATGTTAAACGACGCGGTATTGGATTACACACACCCTCCCTCCCACTATCAACCGCTAGTACTGGTTGTACACACCTACTATCAACTGATAGTACTATCAGCTATCCACTTACGTGTCCTACAGCACAGCAATAATCCACAACCGACACAGCCCTCGCAGACCAGAGTGCAGAAAGAGGTCTGCTCCTGCTCATCCCAGGAGCTGAGCTGCTCCCTTGGCTGAATTCCTTCACACAACCTCCTAACACTAAACTGAAGTTTGCAGGAGGCTCGTGTTTTATTTCTGCAGTTTATGATTTGTAACATACAGTTTACTCACTGGAAAGTAATGAACTTCATTCAGTGAAAACTGAATGTACTTATGTAAGACTGTATTTACATAAGACTACATTGTATTTGTACAAGACTACATCAACAGAAGTTAGAATCCACGTGGTTTCCCTAAGTAGCTGGGGGAAAAGACAAAAAAAAAAAAAAAAAAAAAAACCACCCAACAAAACCTTTTCCAAACCCAAACAACCAAAAACCAACAACCCACCAAACCCCCAAACCTGTCATTTAAGTACAAACCTTTTAAAACAGTCCTCAAAATTCCTAGAGATAAAGCATTTCAGGTGGACATGCTTGGGGATTTTTTTTTTCCTTTTCTTAGTATTTTGTCTTACCTACAAATGAAATTATCTATTTATTTTTTCAGAGCTGCTCTACTCTCCCCGCCTCACCGCCCCACTCCTCAAAAAAAAAAAAAAAAAAAAAAAAAGCCACACTACACAACTCTTTCTCTTCTGTCAACAGCAGCAATACATAGTTACCACCCTTTGCATGTCTGCCCAACAGGAAATGAAAACAACAAACCTGATACAACCAAAGTTTATGGATCATTACAAAGTGCATGAGCACTCCTAGCACTCCTACCACCTGTAAGTATTTTAAGAAAACAGCACTGGTTAAAGATTAAAAGAAATGAGACACTACAGATATTAATGCCTTCAGCTTTCTCAACCACAACAAAACTGTTACAACATCCTAAGGAATAAGCAATACAACTTGAAAGCAAGTGTTTACACTACTTAGTTCAAAACAACCTCTCAAACAGAAAAGTAAACTGCCACCCTCCAGAGCAAAGTCCCAGCTCTCAGCAGGACTCCTCACAGCTGTTCAGCATTAAAATGAGAAACTTAGATGAATCCATTAGTAAACATAATAAAATTAGATTATCAGTATCTGCAGGAGAGGAGGGTGGGAGCACAGCACAAAATACAGGTCTACCAAAATCTTTCACTACTTTAAGCCAAGTACCTAAGGCCATACCTCAACCTTTCGAGGCAGCAATACACTTCTGATTGAGTATGCATTATACACAGACATCACTACGTTCAATAATTCTCAGTAAGTCCAACTTAGCTAAACTGAGTCAGAGTCTTACTCACATAACAACTAGAAGACGCTGAAACGGCTAAAACTAAGCTTTGAGTGCAATTTCCATTATGAACAATTCTATTTTTACAGCACTCTAGCTGGGCTAGCATCATACCAGCCTTTCACACAAAGCTTCAAAGTAAGAGCATTTCGTCAGCTTTCAGAAAATACGGTCGTCAAAACACACTACTTTAGGGCTGCGGAGCATGCTATTGCAATAACTTTACCAACAGTTTTTAGTTTTAGGATTACAGCAGCTTCTCAGCTGTAATCTTGCAGATTCTAACCACCTTTGCAAGGGTGCGTGCACACACATGCCCAGACCTCTCCTGCCAATTGACCACTTTGCTGAAGGAACGGATGGCACTGACAGCTCCCCCACACACACCCCGCTGCCCCCCAGGAATAATCCCAAACAGATTATAGTTGCGTCAATCTAGCGTGTACGTTTAGCATCCGGAATGATACGGCAAACCCTAAGAGGTGCCATGTATCTGGTAAGCAATCCTCACAAAAAGATGGACCAACACAACAGACCGAGGTGTTTCCTCCTGCGCCGTTGCGGAACGGGAACTCAAACTCCACTCTTCAGAAAATGCCAAAACGCAGTTACACCACAGACCGAAACCAGTCCGGTTAAATAACAGCCGCCAACAAACGTACATTGGGGACTTCAAATCGTACTGCAAGAATATCCCACCGAAACCCCCACGTTTCTCAGCCAACTGCCGGTGCCCTTCACGCCGCTTCTCTTCTGCTCTCACCAGAAGAGCAAACTTCACTTGCTGAAGTGTGACAAAACCCCTCCAAAAACGTTTCGGAGCCACCGGGGCTCAGCGACCGTCACGCACCTCACGCTCCCGGGCGAGACAAACCCTCCCGCCGGTGCGGTCCCGAGGGCAGGAGCGGCGGCGCCCGGGTTTCAGCCCCCTTGGAGACACGACCGCCCGGCCCGGCGGTTTGTCTTTTCCCCAGCAAACAGCTCTCCCCGTCTGCGGGGGAGAAGGACCGCCGGTTCCCCGAGGCTCGGTGGACTTTCGGGGGTGGGGCCGGGCAATGCCCGAGCCGGGCTCCCGCCGCCGGCAGCGCTCCCCCCGCCGCCGCTCC